GGGAGGAAGGGAGGGAGGGAGGAAGGAAGGAGAGGAGGAAGGAAGACAAAAAAGAAAGAAAGAAAGAGGAAAGAGGATAAAATAAAGTAAGATAAAATACAATAAAGTTATTAAAATAAAAAATAATTATTAAGAAAAAAAATTTTTTTAAAGAAAAAAAAAGAAACGGATAGAACCCTGGGACAAATGGTGACAGCAAAGCTATACAGACAAAATCTCACACAGAAGCATACACATACACACTCACAAAAAGAGGAAAAGGGGGAAAATAATAAATCTTGCTCTCAAAGTCCACCTCCTCAATTTGGGATGATTCGTTGTCTGTTCAAGTATTCCACAGATGCAGGGTACATCAAGTTGATTGTGGAGCTTTAATCCGCTGCTTCTGAGGCTGCTGGGAGAGATTTCCCTTTCTCTTCTTTGTTCGCACAGCTCCCAGGGGCTCAGCTTTGGATTTGGCCCCGCCTCTGTGTGTAGGTTGCCGGAGGGCATCCGTTCTTCGCTCAGACAGGACGGGGTTAAAGGAGCAGCTGCTTCGGGGACTCTGGCTCACTGAAGCAGCGGGTAGGGAGGGGTGCGGATGCGGGGCGAGCCTGCAGCGGCAGAGGCCAGCGGGACGTTGCACCAGCCTGAGGCGTGCCGTGCGTTCTCCCGGGGAAGTTGTCCCTGGATCCCGGGACCCTGGCAGTGGCGGGCTGCACAGGCTCCCCAGAAGGGAGGTGTGGAGAGTGACCTGTGCTCGCACACAGGCTTCTTGGTGGCAGCAGCAGCAGCCTTAGTGTCTCATGCCCGTCTCTGGGGTCCGCGCTGTTAGCCGCGGCTCACGCCCGTCTCTGGAGCTCCTTAAAGCGGAGCTCTTAATCCCCTCTCCTAGCGCACCAGGAAACAAAGAGGGAAGAAAAAGTCTATTGCCTCTTCGGCAGGTCCAGACTTTTCCCCGGACTCCCTCCCGGCCAGCCGTGGTGCACTAACCCCCTGCAGGCAGTGTTCACGCTGCCAACCCCAGTCCTCTCCCTGGGATCTGACCGAAGCCCGAGCCGCAGCTCCCAGCCCCCCCCACCCCGGCGGGTGAGCAGACAAGCCTCTCAGGCTGGTGAGTGCCAGTCGGCACCGATCCTCTGTGCGGGAATCTCTCCGCTTTGCCCTCCACACCCCTGTTGCTGCGCTCTTCCCTGCAGCTTCGAAGCTTCCCCCTTCGCCACCCACAGTCTCCGCCCGCGAAGGGGCTTCCTAGTGTGTGGAAACTTTTCCTCCTTCACAGCTCCCTCCCACTGGTGCAGGTCCCGTCCCTATTCTTTTGTCTCTGTTTATTCTTTTTTCTTTTGCCCTACCCAGGTACGTGGGGAGTTTCTTGCCTTTTGGGAGGTCTGAGGTCTTCTGCCAGCGTTCAGTAGGTGTTCTGTAGGAGTTGTTCCACGTGTAGCTGTATTTCTGGTGTATCTGTGGGGAGGAAGGTGATCTCCGTGTCTTACTCTTCCCCATCTTCCCTGAACCCCCCAGAAATTCATTATTTTTAATGAATTAAGGTGAATAATAGAAATCTACAATGCTCTATTAGGAAATGTCTTGCAAAAGAAATCGCAAATCTCATTTTATAGTATCTTATTTTGGGGGGATAAAATCAGCTTCTAGATAACAAGATACTTCCTGAACCCAAACTAGGTTTTAATATTAAGCTGTCCTAATGTTCATTTATTGTTAATATACTGAGGTTGCTGATCTAGGTTCTCTAAACTGATGAATAGAGAGAGAGGAGGTACATTTTAACTTGATAACTTTCCAAGAACCTGATCTTAGCTGTCATTTTCTTGAGATGTGCTCTGTAAACACCTTTCTACTAAAATTCCCACTTTTGCCCCACTCCCCAGCATAAATGCTCTCATTCTATCACATCATCCAGTTTTATATTCTTAACATTTAAAACAATCTGAAATTACCTTGCATATACAGTTGTTGTTTATTAAATTTTTCCTCATTGTAAAATTAAATTCCATAAGAGTATAGATCTTGTATTGTTCAATACTGAATCCCAGACACCTAGAATATTGCTTAGTAGTTAAATGTATTTTTGGACAAATGGACTGATGGGTGATTTTTTTAATTTTTATTTTTGGGCAGGGAGTAATGATCGATAGCACCGAGGATATCATTTTTAGCAGTCTTAATAAAGCTAACCAAATAGGGTCTCTCTTAGAAATCTTGTTGTACTCTTATTGATGTTGGTCTATTCCTGGGCTGTCTCAGATAGCCTAGTCCACTTAGGTACTAATTCCTGTGCCCTTTGCTTGCTTTGTAAGCATTCCCTGTCCAATTTAGGGAATTACCAAATGTATTTGTTCCTGGATAGAGCAGAGGAAAGTCAATCGGTGGAGACTATTTCGGAATTGTTTAGAGGAAAATCTGGAAGTACCAGCCCACATATCTTGTCCTATCCTGATTAATTTGCGGAGTTTCTTCTTTCTAATTATCTTCCAATAGAACTTTAGAAGTGAGGGGAAGAAAAGAAAGTTGATTAATTTTATCCCTATTAAAACAGCAAGTTAAAGGGTAGCTTGTCTGGAAACATAAGGAGTTTGTGAAGAAACTGGGTGATTGTGAAGAGGCTAGGCCAATTTCTAATTACAGCTCACTGAAGACAAAGCTACTCATTTGAGGTATATTTTCTGAGATTTCTTTAAACTTTTAACCTTTTTTATTATTATGTTTTTCCTAATAATAATAGCTGATGATTTTATCACATGATTGGCACATGAAAAATCCATAAAATCGAAACAGTGTTGCATTTTGGGACAACAAAAATTAGGAAACTCTTTATTCCAAAGTTTGTTGTGCAATGAAAGACCCCTAAGGTATGAGGCAGGAATCTGAGTAGCAGGAAATAAAATCTGTCTAACATAAACAAAAAGAGAGATATTTTTGGAAGAATACTAGGCAGCTCAGAGGATGAAAGGAAAAGCTGAATAAACAAATCTCAGAAAGCCAAAACCAGGGCAGCTCTGGGAGGTCTTTTCACTAGCACATTACTATTAAGGTGACGAAGCTACAGTGACTTTTCACCTTCTGTCTTTCGATTTGAATTTTAAATTTTCAGGAGTAGACTACCAAAGTGAACATAATGATGTGGAGCAACAATTTCCCCTCTACTTCTCCTGTTTTTACATAAAAGCAACAAGATGAACTGAAAGGAAATTTTTTTAAGTTACACTTTGGGCAGATGGAGAAAATTGGGGAATGAAACTGAAATCAGTGAGAGTGTAATTCTAATAATAGCAAACATTTGTTGAGCGTTTACTATGGACCAGACACTATGTTGAGTATTTTGCATCCATTAACTTATTTAATTCTCATGATAACACTATGAGTTAAGGATAGTAATAATATATTTTACATTTGGGAAAATTAAGGCTTAGAGCAGCGGTCCCCAAGCTTTTTGGCACCAGGGACCAGTTTCATGGAGGACAGTTTTTCCACAGGGGGGGTGCAGGGGGGTTGGGGGGATGGTTCAGGCGGTAATGCGAGCGATGGGGAGTGATGGGGAGCGGTATATGAAGCTTTGCTGGCTCACCCACCACTCACCTCCTAATGTGCGGCCCGGATCCTAACAGGCTGCGGACCGCTACCGGTCCAAGGCCCGGGACTGGGGACCCCTGGCTTAGAGAAGTTAAGTAACTTGTTTAGGTAGTATATTAGCAATTAGGAGTAATCAGGAGGCTGTCGTAGTAATTTGAAGCAAGAAACGATAACGGCCTGAGCTAAGTTAGTGAGATAGAACCAATAAAGCTTAGAGAACGGTTGTATAGGATATGTAAAAAGGGGAGGAGTTGGGGGCTTCCCTGGTGGCGCAGTGGTTGGGAGTCCGCCTGCCGATGCGGGGGGCGCGGGTTCGTGCTCTGGTTCGGGAGGATCCCACGTGCCGCGGAGCGGCTGGGGCCGTGAGCCATGGCCACTGAGCCTGCGCGTCCGGAGCCTGTGCTCCGCAGCGGGGGAGGCCGCGGCAGTGAGAGGCCCGCGTACCGCAAAAAAAAAAAAGGGGGGGAGGAGTTGAGAATAAATCCTAGGCATCTGGGTCAGAAAGTGAATGGATTTTTATTCAAAAGGAGAAAGTTTTGATTGATAGAAGTATTATGATGCATTTGATGAGCTAACTTGTCCATTTAAGGCCTTTTACTTGCCTGTGGGATGTGTCAGCAGGTCTCCCACTATACTCTTGCCCCCTTGCAATCTCTTTTCCACACAGTTCCCACCATGGCCTTCAAGGCCCTACCTATCTTACTTGGTTACATACAGCTCTTTCCCTCACTAAATATACTTTAGACATACAGGCCTTCTACTTTTTCTGAGTGGTGGTGAGTTCCTCCCCGCCTTGAGGTCATGCCCTGGCTAATTCCTTTGACTGGAATGTTCTTTGCCAATATCTTGTCATAGCTTTTCCCCTTCTTAACATTCACTCCTGGGTGAGATGTCCCCTCATCAGAGAGGCTCTTCTATACTAACCCTCCTCTGCCCCATTGCCTCCCACCCTCAATCACCTTTCATTGCACTGAGCACTGCTCAAAATTGTGTTCACTTGTAACTCAGTTGTTTATTGCTGTTTACCTCCTCCAGATTATAAATTCCATGAGAGCAGGGACCATGTATATTCACCATCTACACATGAGCACAGTCCTCTGCAGCATATATAAACTCAATAAGTATGAAAGATTAGAAAGTCCTATATGTGAGCTGAAGGAGACTTATGAAACCACTTTAAGTCCGTGGTAACTTGCAGCAAGCCACAAAATGTGAAGACACACATGCAGATTTATAATTAGTAAACCTTAAACTTTATAAAGAATTCACATGCAGCGATCTCATTGCAAACTTTATAATTTTGTTTAATCCTGTCATCTCCTTAGTGGCAGATTTTAGAACTGGAAAATCTGGGTGCTTTTTGTTTTAACCTGAGGAAAAATTCATCTTTGGTAATTGCAATTTTCTAAACTTTGTCTTCTCTCTTAAAGGCTCAATCTCAGGATATAGTTCCAACGATAGGATTCAGCATAGAGAAATTCAAATCGTCCAGGTAATTCATTTTATTAAACTTGTGATTAAGAAGTTGTGAGTGAAAAATGATATTAGATCTACATAGTTATTCCTCCTACTCTTAGAAAAAAGTAAGTTGCTATTTCAGAAGCCCATAGATATTAAAATACTTGTACCACTACCTCTGGATTATTCTAAAGAATTTAGAGTTTAGATAAACTCTGACAACCTCACTAGCAAAGGAAATATCTTTTTTATGTGTTACTAATTGTAAAATCATATTTATGTTCAAAAAAATTCATTCTATGGCACTTGTACTTGAAAGCTGGCCCAAGTTGAATATTGTATATTAAGGGTGGTTTCTTTGATTGAAAACAATTTAAAATTTTAAGTAAAAGTTAGACTTTTACTACCTTATAATGTAGTCATGTTTTTTCATTTTGTTTGTTTTGTTTTATAGTTTGTCTTTTACAGTGTTTGACATGTCAGGTCAAGGAAGATACAGAAATCTCTGGGAACACTATTATAAGTAAGTATGTTTGTGAATGTTGGTAAACTAGATGGTTATATTTTAATAACCAGTAATGATTAGAAATCCAAATGATTACATGGGCTAGGTTGCAATGTTTATTCTTCATATAATTTAAATATACTTCCTAATTTTAAAAAAAGTATAATCGTACTTCACATTATTTCTCAAATGCTTCAGGTTCTTCCTGACCTTGCATATGTTGTTCTGTCTGTTTTTAATGTCCTATTCTACCCTACTTCTCTGCAACTTAAGGTTAATATATTTGTTCTTTAAGGACTAGCTCAAAAGTTACCTCCTCTATGAAGGATTCCACTGTTTTGCCCAGTTATTCTGTCCCCCATGTTGACACGGTACTTCGTCCATTCGTATCTCTTGAATCGTACTTATTACATCTTAAACTCATGTACCATAGCTGCCTCCCTAGTGGGATTATGAACTCCTCAAGGGCAGGGATTTTTTTTTTTATTCCGTATTTCTTCAAGACCAAGTATGATTCTGGCCAGATAGATCAGTAAATACTTACCGTATAAATTTAGTTAAAATAACAGCACTAATAGTTGATCCATGTGTTCTACAAGCAATTCTAAACAAGATATTTTTAGCATGTGCAAATCAAGTGCTCACCAATTTCTTCAGATTAATAGCTGTCAAGTTGCTAGGATCCAAGTGTGTTATACCTTCTCAAGATTTGCATGCGATGTTAAAATAAATTCATTAAACTTGTAATATTACTAGGACTTCTTCATTTAAGATGAGTGTAACTCACTTTTGGAGTCTGAAATTTATAAACAGTATCTCTTCACTAAATGCACTTTTGTTCTTATGAACTCTTGTCTTGAAATGGTGTGTGATGACTGCCAGATCAGATTTTAATTTTCATTGGCTAATTCTTTCATGCTAATGTGGGGACAAATGTTGTATTCCTTGGGTAGGAACCAAAGGAGATTTATTCCAGATATTCTTTCAATATTGAGGGCCTATTTAAATCATATAGAGCCAGAGGACCTCTGAGGTAGAAAGAGAAGAATGCTTCAGATTTGAGGGTCAGTTTGGAAAAGGAAGGGTGGAATGTTTGTGGTATCCTACAATAAATTCTCTGGGGGAAATGTGAGGTGTTTTTGTTTTTAAGGAAACCTCAGTTTTCAGTATAGGATTTTTTTATTCTTATTCCAATTAGTAGGAAAACAATTCTTTTTTCTAAAAAAAAATGTAGTTACTTTAAAAAAATGTAACATTTATTTTAATTACGGAAAACAATACTGCATAAAAAATAGTACTCTAAAAAGGAAGCTTTTTTTCTGATTTTAACTTCTTTTTCTTCAAAATCTTTTTGGAAGAAGTTAATGAACTCAGGAATATTATAGGTACATTGTAGGTGGAATGCTGAATATGGTTACTGTTGAGAAGTCTACAGTAATAGTAAATTTATTTCCTCTATCTCTATACTTTTCTAATTGTGAAAGAACAAGTGCATTTTAATCTATTAGACTGAAAGAGGTTAAAAAGATTAATTAAGTCTACTGTTGGCAAAATAAGCCACTCTTGTAGTGAGAATGTAACATCTTTCTTAGGATAATTTATCAATATCTGTTAAAATGAAAAATGTTCATGCCCTGCAGCCATAATTTTTGCTTTCAGAAAAGTACAGTATGACTAGGACTACTGGGCAAAGATACACAGAGAAGAATGTGTGTTGAGAATTATTTATAATGACATTTTTTCATATCAATTATATGAAGAAAAAAATTATTTTTAATAAAAGTATGTGCTTAATATATATGGAGAGAGAAGAAAATTCTTAGTGGAATATACCGTACCATTAATAGCATTTGTTTTGGGAATAAGATTATAAAGGAAGTTTAGTTTGTCATTTGTATGACTCTGTAATGTTAATTATTGTATAATTTTTGCGTATTACTCTTAGAATATAAAAAAAGTAATAAAGCATAAAATATAAAGAGTGCATATTTGGAAAGGAGTTAATATTTGGAAAATATAGAAAAGCATATTTAAACATTGTTTCCTGTAAATCTCACTAATAAATTTACCATTGTTAATCTTTTGGGTATGTTTCTTCTATTTTGAAATATATAATATACACTTTACATAATTGAGAAAGTAGCCTTCTAAAGTATGTACCATGTACTATATAGTTTTTCAGTTAACATTTTATAATAAGGGTGAATCAGGAAAAACATAGAAAGGATGTAACTCTCATGGCAGCCTAATATTTTTTCATATTCCTGTGCCCAAATTTGCTTAATCATTTCTCTATTTTTGGACATAAAGACTGTTCTCAGTTTTTGAAGATTATAAGCAGTTCTTCAGTTAACATATTACTGTATAAATCTCTGTCATACTTCATGTTTCCTTAGTATAAATTCCAGAAATGAAATTACTGGCTCAAAGTGAACATTTTTAAAGCTCTTGATAGGTATTTCCAATTATATCAGTTTCCATATCCACTAGTAATATGTGACTGTGATAATCTGCATTCATTTTTTAAATGATAGGAGAAAATGGTATTAAAAATTTGTTTTATTTTTATATGCATGTGGTTACTAATGGCATTGAACTTTAAAATCTTAATTTATGATTACACTGAGTCACAAAACATATATAAATGTCCAATAAATATATGAAAATATATTGAACTTAACGAGCAATTAACAAAATACAAAGTAAAATAATATGCTGTTAGGATGGTAAAAAATTGAAAAGAATGATAAGAGCCATGCTGGCAAGGGAGTGGGAAAAGTGCTGGTAGTAGTATAAATTGATATAACATTTCCAGAGGATAATTTATCAATGTTTATCTAAAACTTTAAATTTTGTATGTATTCCTGGAAATTTTATTCCTAAGAACAGATCTTAAAGTATCAAGAAATTTTTAAAATGTATTTAGGAGGATGTTTATCCCAAAGTTTTTCATAGTAATGAAAATTGGAAGTAACCTATGAAGTCCAAAAATAGAAGTTTGGTACAATATTTAATGACACGTCCATTATACTTTATAATCATTAAAAGAAAGATGCGAAGGAAATCAGTGATTTTTTGAAGTGCCGCTGTGATCTATAAGTGAATCCTTATACCATTTCAGTGGCTGGTTATCAGCTTAAAAGTCAAATAGAATAAAATAAAAGCTCTTTGTAAGTATTGTCTCAGGAGACTATTTCAAATATATTTACATATACTTATGTGTCTAACTGCATCTTAATGTAAAATGTATTTCTCACTATGGTTATGGTAAAAAATATTTGAGAAACACTGGTGTAGAGCTTTAATGTTTCATATAAAAGTAGTTCAAACTATACTGCAAAAAAAGATCAGGGAAATGTACATATATTTCAGAAAGGCAGTATAAAACAGCAGGATTCCATTTAAATACAGATGTAGATATTCATATATGAATATACACAAAGGAAATGTTGAAAATGATTTACATGAAAATATTAATGGTTGTATCTGTGTAATAGGATTATGGTTTTACTTGTTATTTTTTAAAATTATGAAATGCCACTAAATTTACCATATTATCCAAATGAAAAGAAATTATTTTACATGAAATATGACTAACATGGTTAATATATTAGTTACTCATATAAACTAATAAGAAATAGCACCAAAGCCTGTAATGTATAAATGGACATAGGACATGAAGACATAATACACAGGTTAGGAATTGCAAATGGATAGTAAACATAGAAAAATGTTCAAGTTTATCTTTAATATTTCTCATTCTTTATATTATACAGAGAAGGACAAGCCATTATTTTTGTCATTGATAGTAGTGATAGATTAAGAATGGTTGTGGCCAAAGAAGAACTTGATACTCTTCTGAATCATCCAGGTACATGTGTGTGTCTTTCAGTCTGTGATGTCTGTGCTTTGGGGTCTGTTTATGTATGATGTTTTGTTCTGGTGTAAGCAAAACGTGTTTACGCTGTGTGATCTTTTATTTAAAATTTTTGAATTTTAAAACATATTAATTATGCAGAATTAACAATATCTTTACTTGCAGTACCATATATTTTTTAAATTTCAAAGCTTTTTGCAATGTTTTTATTTCCCTGAAAATGAAAATGCCCTTTTTTTCTGATTATATAAGTAATGTGTCAATAGCAAAATATGTGGATGGAAAAAGAATAAGGAAGAAAGTAAAAATCGATCTTTCAACACATTAAAAATTTTTTGGTTACCATCTTTTTACGTGTGTGTGTGTGTGTGTGTGTGTGAGTGATCACAGCATTTCTTAGATATTTATTGTGGGAATTCTTTTAAGACAGATCTTTCTGTTTCTAAACTACTCCCAGCCCTCTTTGAAGATATCAGTATTAACAATTTGGTACTTTTTCTTTCATACCTTTATCTATATTTCATATCATATATACATACACAAACATATACAGGTACCAAAGATATATATAGTCGCCCTTGGTACCTATGGGAGATTGGTTCTAGGATCCCCAAGGATACCAAAAACTGTGGTTGCTCAAGTCCCTTATATAAAATGGTGTAGTATTTGCATAGAATCTATGCGCATCCTCTCACATACTTTAAATAATCTCTAGATTGCTTATAATACCTAAGAAAATATAAATACTATGTAAATAATGCCAGTGCATGGTAAATTCAAGTTTTGCTTTTGGGAACTTTCTGTAATTTTTTCCTGGCGTATTTTCCATTCACAGTTGGTCGAATTTGTGGGTGTGGAGTCCACGGATACAGAGGGCAAACTGTACAGGGTTGGGCGCTATGAGAACTGTCATCGTTATTTACTAGACGGGATCATTTTCTGTACACTCTTCTGCATGTTCCTCTTCTCAAATAACACTGCATGATGGAAATCCTTTCAAGTCAAATTGCATATATATAATTATTCTTTTTAATGATGCCTAATATGCCATACTGTGAATGTACCACAGTTTATTCAATCATTCACCTGTTGCTAGATATTCTTTTTTTTCCCACAGTAAGTTTTCCAGTAGTATTGTGAAATTCTGCATTTTTAGCCTTACTCATGGAAAAACATTTTAAGTGGCTTTTGTACCTTTAGAAAAGGACTTCTAACAGTTCTTGCTGCTTAACCATAATATCTTTGGTATTTTTATTGGACAACCTCAAGTTTATGCAAGTATTTGGGGGGAAATTATCCAGCCTGTACTTTTTATGTGACTTTTTCACTTTTAAAAACTTAGTCTTTTATCTGGGTTGAGAAGGCACTTGATTCTACATTCCCTTTTTTGTTAATATTTCCACTTTCTCCCCCAAAAGTGTTTTGAAGTTGACCAAAAAATGAAATAGTTCCTACAAAATCTGCTTTAAATACCGTGGGAACCTTGGTTTCCTCAACTGAAGCCTTGTCCATGTATCTTTATGTACTTACTGATGCATTTATTTTACCGTTAGATTCCCAAAGGAGGGATTTCTCAGCTGAAACGTATATGAAGGTTTTTTTTAAATTGAAGTATAAGTTGTAATACAGTGAAATGCTCAGATCTTAAGTATATAGTTCTATAATTTTGACAAATGCATACACTCATGTAACTACATTCCCAATCAAGAAACAGAACTTTTTCATCACCTCAAAAAGTTCCTTCATGCCCCTTTCCAATCAACACCCCACACCTGGAAACAGAGGAACTACTAATCTGATTTTGATCCCCAGAGTTTTGCCTATTCTACAATTTCATATAAATGAGGGGAAAGGGGCATACATTTTTGTGCCTAGGTTTTTTCATTCAGCATAATGTTTTGGGGAGTCACCCATGTTGTTGTATCACTTGTTTACTCCTTTTACTTGCTTTGTGATATTCTATTATATGAATATACCACAGTTTGCTTATCCAGTCTCTTGTTGATTAATATCTGGGCTGTTTCTAGTTCAGGGCAATTTTGAATAAAGCTGGTGTGAACATATTTTTGAGATATAATTCACATATTATATCAGTTTCAGTTATTCAGCATAATGATTTGATATTTGTATATACAGTTAGCCCCTTGAACAACTGGGGTTTGAACTGCACAGGTTCGCTTATATGCAGATTTTTTTCAAATAATGCTACCGTAGTACTACATGATTCGAAGTTGATTGAATCCACGAATGTGGAACCGCAGATACAGAGGGTCGGCAACGAAGTTATTCACAGATTTTTGACAGTGCAGGGTTCGGAGCCCCACCTCCACATTGTGCCAGGGTCAACTGTATTATGAAATGATCACTATAATAAGTCTAGTTAACATCTTTTTTTTTTTTTTTTTTTTTTACAACACATAGAGTTTTTTTTCATGGGATGAGAGCTTTTAAGATCTATTCTTAGCAACTTTCAAATACACAATACAGTATTACTAACTGTAGTCACCATGCTATACATTACATCTCATGAATTATTTGATGACTGGAAGTTTGTGTTTTTTGGCCCCTTTCACCCATCTCAAGCTCCCTCCACCCCAGCCGCCTCTGACAACAGCCAGTTTCTTCTCTGCATCTATCGGTTTGTTGTGTTTTGTTTTCTTCAGATTCCACATGTGAGATCATATGATATTTGTCTTTCTCTGACTTATTTCACTTAGCATAATGCGTTCCATTTTGTCATTTCCTATCTTGCAATGGCCCCCCCGATTTTGTATTAGGGCTGTAGAGACCTCATAAAATGACTTGAAGAGTATTTACTCCTCCTCTATTTTTTTATCGTTTGGATTTGTGTAGAATTGATATTATTTCTTACTTAAACATTAAAATAGAATCTACCAATGAAGCCATCTGGGTCAGGATTTTGTGTGTATGTTGGGGGCATGAATTATAAATTCAGTTTCTTTAAATGATGTAAGGCTGTTAAAGTTCTGTATTTCTTCTTGGGTCACTTTCGGTAATTTGTGACTGAATTTGTTAATTTGTTAATTTATCTAAGTTGTGAAATTTATTGGCATAAAATTGTTTGTAACATCCTCTCATTATCATTTTAATGTCTGTAAGACCTGTATGATATACATATCTTCTTTCATTTCTAATACCCATTTTTCTTGCTCCATCTTTTAAAGAGTTTATGGTTTTATTAATTTTCCAAGAACCAGCTTTAGGTTTTGGTACTTTCCTCTGTGGGTGTGTCTTTTTTAAACTTCATTAATTTCTGCTCTTTTTTTATTAAGAACTTTTGTTTTTATTATGAACTTTCTGTATTTAAATTGAATCTTTTTCAGATGTAAGTGGAAATTGTTGATTTTACACGTTTCTTTTCTAATAAAGCATTTTACACCTTTGTTTTATAATAAAAACATTTAAAGCAATACATATTTTCTGAGTATTTAGCTATATCTCACAAATTTTGATATATTTCTTTTCTTTATTATTTGGCTCAAAGTATTTTCCAGGCTTAACCTTGTAAATTCTTCTTTGATGCTTGGATTATTTAGTAGTGTATTATTATTTAATTTCCCAAATATTTGGGATTTTCTAGGTATATTTTTGTGATTGATTTCTGATTTAATTCCATGTGATCAAAGAATCTATTCTGCATGATTTTTATTCTTAGAAATATATGACCTAACATATACGTTTGAGTGTGGTGAATGTTCCATATGCAATTACGTAGAATGTATATCTTCCTGTTCTTGGCTGAAGAGTTCTATAAATGTCAGTTGATAGTGTTATTCACTTCTTCCACATCCTTTCTTTATTGAGGTATAGTTGATGTGTTAATACAATATCATATAAGTTTCAGGTGTACAGCATAGTGATTCACAATATTTTAAAGTTATGTTCCATTTATAGTTAATATAAAATATTGGCTATATTCCCTGTGTTGTACAATATATTCTTGTAGCTCATTTATTTTATACATAGTAGTTTGAACCTCTTAATCTCCTACCCCTACCTTGCTCCTCCACCCTTCCCTCTCCTGAGTGGTGACCACTAGTTTGTGCCCTACATCTGCGTGTCTGTTCCTTTTATGTTATATTCACTAGCTTGTCGTATTTTTTAGATTCCACATATAAGTGATATCATACAGTATTTGCCTTTCTCTGTCTGACTTATTTCACTCAGCATAATACCCTTCAAGTCCATCCATGTTGCAAATGGTGATGTTTAATTCTTTTTCATGGCTGAGTAGTATGCCATTGTATATACGTACCACATCTTCTTTATCCATTCATCTGCTGATGGACACATAGTTTGCTTTCATATCTTGACAACTATGAACACTAGGGGGCATATATCATTTCGAATTAGTGTTTGGGGGTTTTTTTTGATAAATACCCAAGAGTGGAATTGCTGACTCATATGACAGTTCTATTTTTAGCTTTCTGAAAAACCTCCATACTGTTTTCCATAGTGGCTGCACCAATTTACAGTCCAACCGGCAGTGTACAAGGGTTTCCTTTCCTGTACATCCACACCAACATTTGTTATTTGTGTTCTTTTTGATGATAGCCATTCTGACAGGTGTGAGGTGATATCTCATTGCAGTTTTAATTTGCATTTCTCAGATGATTAACGATGTTGAGCATCTTTTCATGTGCCTGTTGGTGAGCTGTATATCTTCTTTGGAAAAATGTCTGTTCAATCTTCTGACCATTTTTTAATTGGGTTGTTTGTTATTTTGATGTTGAGTTGTATGAGCTGTTCATATAGTTTGGATATTAACCCCTATTGGTCATATCATTTGCAAATAAGTTCTGCCATTCAGTAGGCTGTCTTTTCATTTTTGTCAGTGGTTTCCTTTGTTGTGCAAAGCTCTTAACTTTAATTAGGTCCCACTTGTTTAGTTTTGCTTTTATTTCCTTTGATTTAGGAGACAGATCCAAAAAAATAGTGCTACAATTTATGTCAAAGAGTGTTCTGCCTGTTTT